TGAGCTTGAATGAAAGCTTGTTTTATTCACAGAACATTGGTGTGAGTGAAAAATTGATATTCGGCATCATTTTCCGGTGATGATATGTTTATAAGAAGTTATTAAAACTTGCAGGAATACGCCACACTGGAAGCATGTGATTCATGCATGATAAAGGAACCACACAGGGTGTGGCTAAGCCCCACAGCCACTATCTGATTGGAACAGCGACCCATGGGACGGACTTACGCCGCGGATCAAAACCCCACTGCAACACAGATTCAATAGCTCTCGCTCGCTCGCTTACTCTCTCTAGAACCGTGGCTTTCCGCCTGGTGACTGCGCGACAAAGCGCTCCCATGCCGTAACATTGCACAAGCGAGACTCCAGAACTCAAACACTTCAGTTGAAACTCCGCGACTGCCGAACTTCAAAGTCTAAAGCCAAGCAAAGGAACTCTCAGGAGAACTCCAAACATCACTCTCCGTGCCCAAGGCAACCGACTTTCAAGCCTCTGCGTCATCAAGAAACCAACCAATCTCCGAAGGGAATTCCCAGAAACCACGTCAGCCAGACGCCCGACCAGCAACCAATCAAAAGCCGGGACTCCCTCAGGCAACGAGGAAACCCGGAACCCCGTTTCAGCTTTCAGCAAAACGCAAGTAACGAACAAAATCTTCTATCTGCTGAACTGGCGCTGATGATTGATTTAAGCAGTAAACTTAAGACAAACCTCTGCTTTCTGAATTATCTCAGGCTGAATTTAAAACCACTCGTGAAAACGAGTTAGAACTTTGGGAACTTCTCAGAACTCCGTTAACATCATTTTCATTCTTCAGAGACTGTATGTATGTGTGTGTGTATGTGTATGTCTTAGCTTAGGTCAATGTAATTTAGAATAGCCAATAAATTCATGTTTCATTTATAAAGAATCATTGTCTGGTGTCGTATAATTTTAAAGTCAAACCTTGCCAAGATTTTGCTACCTAGCTCGTAGCGTATAACTTATCAAAGAACGTATTAACTCGTGGCCAGGGAAAATACATATAGTCAAATGTTAATATACACTGACATTAACGTCTCGCTGGACGAGTAGCTGATAAGGTGTAAAATATCAAATTTGAAATCAGTTTTAATCAGGTTGACTTCGAATTTTCAGATTCGAGTCCTCTCAAAACCTGAGATAGAAATAAAATTAATGATTAATTCCCTTATAAGAATTAATGAGTTAAATTCCTTACACATGTCTCCTTGGTATTTCATGGACCGCAATATAATTCCTACCCTTGACTTCCCGATCTTTTATGTTACCCTGGTTTCTTAAAGACTCGTAAAGGTGTGTTCCTGCAACCAAGACACCATCGAGATCTTGTGTCGTCCATGTCAGCACGTTCTTCATCTTGCTTTTCAACACCGCTGCTCAGAGAGCTAACATTTGATAAATCATTTGTCTTTCTCATTGAGCTAGGCTCTGCCCTTTTTTTAAGAGGAGGCAATACCTCTCCTTTAGCACAGCGCTCAGCATATAACTTTTTAGCTATTTGGGAGCGCTTCTTTGGTCGAGGCATCTGTACTTAGACAAACAAACACATCAAAAACAACACGGGTTAATAATGATTATTGTTGAACACATTAAACAAACTAAAACTAAACTAAAGCTCATCTCATTTAGGTGGCTCTGATTTAAAATTCAGAAGGTTTTCAGTTTGAAGTATAATATAGTTTTAAAGTGAATAGATAGATAGATAGATAGATAGATAGAATTTGAGCTTTCCCAGCATAATTATTTGATCATGCATACAGTATGCATATAATTTAATATACCCCATGAACATTAAACTAATGGTTTACCGTGACTTGAATGTCTCTCTTCCTGTATCTCTACATGTAAAAAAAAAGAAGAAAGAAAATTATCACCTTTTCTTATAACAATGCAACTCATTTTCATCAAGACTAATTGGAAGTGGCAATTGAGTAAAAACATATTATTAAACATTGTCTTTTGTTGGACAACAGGTTTATAATGACTCCTCATTACAAGTTTGGGTTTCAAGATGTTTGATCTTTTAGATAAATGATAATTTTAAATGAAAATTTATAGAAAAATGAATTAAGTAATTACGTGCAACCCTAGGATAACTTTATTTGTAATTTATGCCTCAATAAAGCCAATGACATTCAAGGCTGTACATAATTTCAGAGTTACACGTCATCTGAAGATAACACATCAACATTCTCATACCAGAAAGAAACAAGGTTTTTTTCAAATTAAACTCAAACTTTCTTAAATAGAAAACTTCATATAATTTAAATAAAACCATAAAAAAAGTAATTTAGATAAACAAACAACTATATTTCACACCCCTATAAATAGGCTACCTGATGAAAGCTACACAAACCTACAAAACTGCAGTACCCAAGACCAGAAGTTAACCTAAGTGTATTAAATTGTTTTGTTTTTTATAAATACACAAATGACATGAAAACAAACAGCTTTAGCTATAAATGGGTATATATATAATTAAACTGTTTAGTAATATCTAATAAAACAGAGTTTTATTTCATTTGAAAAATGAAAACTCATACATAAACTTACCTGTTGAACAAACAAGATTGGAAATGACCAACACCTGTGTAATCAAGGTTGTAGTAGGCTACATGACCACAGATCCACGAATCACCATTAAGATGGAAATACCTCATAAACTGAAACAAGGCTCTTTGAGCATCAACCTAATCATGTCTGTTTGCCATTCTAACAATACATGTCAATAGTTCACAATATCTGTATAACTCACACAACTTGCAAACTTATTAGGGCTACTATGTGAAAGACCAGCTAGCCTCACACACATTTTACATTTAAAAAAAGTTATCACAGAATACAAATAACAAAGTTGAAAATATATGTATTAATACGTATTGATGTGCTTTAAGCAAAATCATTAAATTCCAACCTTTCTACAGAAAATAGTCCCAGACAGACACAATACACAGCAAGTTTACTGAGAAAAAAAAGGAATTGTTCTCATGCAGTCTTTCATTTATTTTTAACACAATATAAATTTTCAGACACAAGTAAATCTCTTAACATGATAAATGTTTGTTTACCGTTTTTATTTTTTAAAAAGGACCTGTTTGCACCACAGAGCAAGTTTGCCTAATAAAAGAGTAACTCGCTGAACATACACCACACATGAAAAAATATATAAATAAATAAAATAAATATTTCAGCCTATCCACTCTGCACTTCAGAATATGAGGGATTTAAAATGCACACACAAATTCATTTATCTCCCACAGTACACTAAAAATCATGGTATGGCAAGTTCAGATAATATCATTCAAACAAACAATACCATTTCTTGTTGACAATATAAATTTTGGCAAGAAAGAAACAAACTATTATTTATTATTAAGCGAAAATGTTGGCCTCAGCCATTACAGTACTACATTGCAACGGCCTCGCAACATTTCTTTAGTCGCTAAAACAATCTTGCTCCGTAAACGTAGGCTATGCAGTCACATCTCATTCATAAAATACACACGACGCAATCGGTCACAAGACACACAACCTGCAATGCCATTTGGAGAGTCGGAGATCGCTTTTCCATACGTTCTTCACACAAATAAATCATTTTACCTCAGAACACTTGGTATTTTCTACTATTAAATAAATAGTGCTTGTTGTTATATCTGCCTGTTATATCTTGTGTTTTATACAAATGGCTAGGTTTACAGGTGGGGTGGGGTTGGGTTACATGCTCAAACATTTCTAAATTATGTAAATAAAAAAAAATGAATGTAAATAAAACAATGGCTGATTAAGCAGAAATCACAAAACATATTGCAGTGAAATACATTAGATTGAAAGTCGTGCTGAGTGACACACATAAAAAAGGGAAATTTGTTTCCATTAACACGAATCAATAGTTTAAATTTAGTGACAATGTCACAAACTGCCATGAGAGTGGGTTTCACATTATGTGCAGTGAGAAGCACTTCGCATAAATACATAAAAGAAACGAGGTTATTTTTATGCTTTCATTTTATTAAACAGTTTGTTTAAATTGGAGGTATTAAACTCAATTCCCGGAGGGCCAAAACTCTGCAGAGTTTAGCTCCAACTCACACCTGTTTGGAAGTTTCTAGTAATCCTGAAGACCTTGATTAGCTGAATCAGGTGTGTTTGATTAGGGCTGGACCTAAACTGTACAGAGCTGTGGTCCTCCAGGAATTGAGTGTGAAACCAGTGATTAAAATGTTAAGCAACAACACACTAATGTAGATTTAACAATTACAACGTTTACAAATTCACGTACAGAAAACCCTTTATCAAAATACACTAACACCAAGGAAACCAATTATTATTGTATTCTTAATTAGTTCCACACTTCATAATAGGTTCAACACAACAATCGGTTAATTGTCAATTGGCTGATAATTAGTAATTGCCTACTTGTTATCTAAATTATCAATTGTAATTGTCTGTTTTGCAAAGCATACTTTGCTCAAGGATATAATCAAGTAAAAGCTACTAGAACACGTGCTGCAAAATTTCCAAAATGAGTAAGAAACAAACAAAAGCAGACACTCAGGCTCCACAGTCCTTATGTGGTTATATACATGCAGTGACTCCTGTCACAATGTCCAGACGAAATTTCAAATACTTCAATGCAACCTTCCAAACACAAAGAGATGTGTTTCACCACACAGTCATTTTTGCAGCAGAACAACATATCATGTGGTCCACCACAGCAAAAAATGGCACGGCAGTCAAGCTGACAAACACAACAAACAAACCAGGTGTGTACAGTTCAAGCTTATCAATCTGTTTATCTATTTATCTATAATCTCTATTAATAACATACTCTTGTTTTTTTCCAGACCCCAACAGCAAAAGCTTTTCCATTCACCGTGATAGAAACACCGTAATGGAAGTTATAGATGTGAACTTTCCGCATAATCCTCCAATCGAAACACAGCTGATGTATGTTGAAGACATCAAATTGTTGGGTCCAAAGCAACATGTAAGTTTTCACGTAATTTAAGCTCTTTTTTTTGTGTGTTTTTTTATTTTGTTTATTTTTTTTATAAACCTGATTACGCAGACAAGGTTTAAGCCTAGGCCCAGACTAAAATGCATATTTGAGTGGTCTTTACTGAGAGCAATTTGCACTCCAAAACATGTCAGTGCCAATTTCTCTCGAGATGTAGTAGTAGTAATAATAATAATAATAATAATAATAATAATAATAATAATAATAATAATAATAATAATAATAATAATAATAATAATAATTTATTGTTATAGGGACATTTGAAAAGCTACTTAAATATCCTCAGATAACTTGGATTTACTCATGGCTTAATCTAAGCCATGTCTATGAAACGGGCCTTACTGTTTACTTTTGTGCTATACTTCCGTAAGTGCCCTGTTTCAGTTCTCAATCCACTGTTGTCGGTAGTTTTTCTTACCCATGTGCCTTCCTGGTTTCAGTATTTTGTTTTTGTTTGGCTTAAATATACTGACTGCCGCTGATGGATCATTTACTTGCTTTTTATGTAAACAACCCTGAAACCAACTATACATCTTTTGCATTTCAGGTGACCAAACTTCAGCCAACTGTGGTGAAGGTAAACCCACCAACAGTCAATGCCTGGGACACAGCATGTGAAATAAAAGAATGCTTCCTAAGAGACAAAATGGGTCAGATTATGCTTACCTTATGGGACAAACTAGTGACTCAGGTAGAACTGAACAACACGTATGAGTTTGAAAATATGCAAACTAGAGCCTTCAGGGGTATCCCAACATTAACGTCTTCAAGGAGCACTATCATCAAACCAATTCAGCGTGACCAATCAGCAGGCAACTGTGGTGAAGGTAAACCCACCAACAGTCAATGCCTGGGACACAGCATGTGAAATAAAAGAATGCTTCCTAAGAGACAAAATGGGTCAGATTATGCTTACCTTATGGGACAAACTAGTGACTCAGGTAGAACTGAACAACACGTATGAGTTTGAAAATATGCAAACTAGAGCCTTCAGGGGTATCCCAACATTAACGTCTTCAAGGAGCACTATCATCAAACCAATTCAGCAAAGCAAAGTATTTCTTGCCGGTCAAGAACCAAAAGTCACAGAAGACCTTGACATCCAGACTACGAAACTGATATCAAAACCACAGGGGGTAAAAATCCAAATCCACAAACTTTGTCCAAAATGTCATCAGTCACCGCACATCTTCAATCCAAAACAGCCATTACATAGATGCACATGTAAAGTTCTCAGACAAGGAAAGAATTGCCTGACAAAGTGCTCTGGAATCATTGAAGTCATGAAAAATGATCAGGTCCTTTCTTTTACAATATCTAATTCCGTTTTGTCCAAATTCATCAGAGCTGAAATGGACTTGTCTTGCGCATCGGTTGTTGACATTGAGGAAATGCTTTTGTCAAGCGACGACATTGTTTACATACACCAACACCCTTGAAATAATTGAACTACAAAAAGCTCCAACAGACAGTGATGAACTTCTGGACATTACCTTTGACGACAGCTTAAGCCTCCCTCTCTCTTCACTGCAGATGACAACACATCAACTCAGTCACCAAAAAGACCAGCAGAACAAGCTGATGGACCATGTAAGAAAGTTGCTTAAAGTCTTCTAAAATTTATTTTTTTTATTTTTTTTTTTTTTTTCTTCATTACTTTTCTCCTTTAATACGGAAATGTTTTTGTATCAATTAGTTAGAATTAATGGAAAAAGTAACCCTGTTTTGGTTTAAAAAAAAATTACTATTAGGAAAATTGTTAAAGTTTTGAAGCTGAATTTCCTAAATATTGCTAAATATAAAAGCAATGTGTGAATAAACATTACAATTGATGGTTTCAATGCATCTAAACATTAAACTCTCTTGAAGTCACTCAGTACTTTTTTGTTTGTTTTTGAATGTTTAACTGTCACCCATCCCCTCTGTGGGACGCCTAAGTTTACTTCACTATATTACAATTAAATCCTAATCTAATCATGACAAACTATATATCGTTGGAAAGGTCTAAGACTCCTAAATAGATATGTTACCAATGTTTTTGTTAAGTTATGTAGGAAAAGTAATAGATTAATTTTTGACAAGAGTGCACCTCAAAAATCTACATAACAGGGGTTCTGACCTTTTGTCAAAAAAGTCTGTTGCGTTTCTCTATCACACTTTAGAAATTGTATATCAATTGAAAACTTTAAATCTCAAAATTCATCCTTTGAAACCCATTTTAAAATCAAACATTGCATTACCATGAAAATGGTACATCAATATCATGTTACAAAATGTTTTCGTTCATGAATTATAAAAATGTAAGTTTGGATCGTGCAGTTTCACGTCTGTTCAAAAATGTGAGTGACTGTTAAGGGGTTAAATACTGGTTTTGACATTTTAATATGGTCAAAAACAGCGCTATTTGCACATTTCTCTTAAAACGGTAAGAAATTTACAAGTCTCTGCATGGTGTTTGGGAAAACTGCAACCGTTTTGTCAGTCAACAAACGCATGCACTGTCAAATTTAGAGATGCGTTTCTCGGGAACCGTACCAAATATCAAAAATGCATTCAGTCAGTTCTGTGTGACTCAGTCCAAATATCATATCACATTATCTTTGGGCCAAGTTACACGGAAATTACTAAACACATTTTTAGTATTCACTACTGTTCCCCAAAAATGTCTCTCTGAATTTAACAGTGCGTGTTTGTTAACTTGTTAGTTCGCTTAGCATACTACTTGGTTAGCATATAGGGGAATTTACTGTTAAAACCGAAGGACCAGGTGTGTTGAATGAAAACCAGGAGTCAGAGATGAAATCAATTGAAGAAACATTTTACTGAAGAAAATACTATAGTTTGCAGTTTTATCAGCAGAAGTCTGCTTCAATACTGGAGTTCGTAGGCTGCTCTGAGTACAACTTACACACACACCAATAATTATACTCCTAACAGAGGATGCTAAATGTGTCAATGCATAAGTCAGCAAAATTCTGATTGGTTCTAAAACTTAGATAAACTTAGACAATTTCCACATATGGATGTAAGTACTTCAAACATCTCTAACTGATTATGTAGGCATCGGTGATCCGTAGTAACACGAAATATGTGTCTCCAGACACAATGTACAATACAGTGGCAAGAAATGATGTTTCAGTTGTTTTTGTTCCACATGTTGTGCCTTTTTGAGTGATTTTGTTTAAATGGAAAAATACTACATGCATTAGCTTGGGCATCTACATAAACCCATGTCTTCACAGTGGCACAATAGGATGAATGACAGGCACCTGACCCAAACATTGTGGGTTTGATTCCCATGTGATACAACTTCAGATGATGGAGTCATTTTATGTCATTTGGAGTCAATTGCTGCAGTTCTACCTTTAACAACGCAAGTCTCTGTAAAAGTAAACAAACCACTGTGTACAAGTGGCATGCTGTGTTCGAAAGGCTATAGCTTTGAAGGTTTTCTAATAATGCAATGTGTGGCAAGTGTTTAGCTATGGGAATTGTGCAATGTTTAAAAAGTTTCCAAATTAAATCCAAAAATGCCAAAAATGGCCATAAGGGGCTTGGCCCCGGAATCGCTGCTTGCAGCTATATTTTTAGTTAGTATTTGTATTTAATAAAGCACTACTGAATTAAAATAATTGGTAAATGAAAAACATTACGTATGATAAACAATAATTTTAAGTACACTGCACTTAAACATTAAGCAAAAACAAATTTAAGCTTTTTAGTTTGACTTAATTGTTATTTATAATTAATGTTAACTTAAAAAATTTGAGTTGCTTAATTACATTTTTTGAGGTAATCGGTGTCCACAAAAATTGAGTATTCTGAACTTATCGGGTTTTACAGTGTAGACCTAAGAGGATCAAGCAAACACATGAGAAACCTGGCACCTACATCCATTTTACCCAAAATTTGCAAAAAATTCTCAATATCTCAAACCTGCTCAGAACGCAGATAGAACCTTATAATTCCAAGGTGACGACTGTTAATGCACACTGCTGCGAGATCCAGTGAGAAGCGTTTGAATTCTGCACAGCATTCTCTGTTATAAACAGATCAAATAGCTCTGATGTAGAAAACTAGAAGAAGTAATGCTAACTACAGATACCATGGTGAAATAGTCAAATAATATTACCTCATTAATTTCAGGGTTTGTACAACCCTTTGAGAGAGAGAAAATCAAGCACTTTTCAATGACAACACAACTATTTACAGCACTTTAAAGCTCTAAAAACGATCAAATTTAAATAAACAATTATATAAAAAAAAAACATCAAATTACCACTGTAACCAGTAGATGGCAGCAGAGGAGCACTTGGTTTATTAGCCATTTATTTTTACTTTTTGCTTTATATTTTGAAATGATTAATTTACTATTATAAAATATCAAATAATCACGAAATCAAATTTTGTTTTGCTCTTTGTTCATGATTTAAGAAAAGTCACAAAATGCCTTGAAAAACACAAACTTCTCTTTCATTTGCAACTGAATCGCATGACACTCAAAGACACCTTACAGGCAGTAAAAAAATAACAGGCAGAAAATGCAAAGCCCATAATAAATAATTAAAAAGAAAAAAGTTTATTTTTTATCTTTTAAAGTTACAGCCATTAAAAGATACATATACAATATCACCGGTAGACCTGCTCAAAATATGTTTTTAGCCCTGATTTAAAAATAAGGAGAGAGTCACTACTGCGAATGTCCTGAGGAGAAGCGTAGCTAAAAGCTCGAGATCCCATGTTAGCCAATCGCATGCGTGGAAGAACTAAAGAAAAAGAAGGACAAACCTGTGTTTTGTATTGCATTTAATTTATTTTTCTATCAATTTCGTTAATACAGTTTCTGTGTCATGTAAAATACAGTTATTAAGATTTGAATAGTGAACCAAATCATGTCATGCAAACGTATCATGAATCTGACAGAACATGTCATGTAATTTGTAGACTGTCCCTTGCAGATCGCTGACGTCATCACCAGCCATAGAGAGCAATGGGTTTTTTTTTTTTTTTTTTTTTCCCCCCATTTGAAAGACAACGACTCTAAAAGAAAACACAGTTGTAGATGATAGTTGTGGTAGTGAAAATAATAATCTCATACGAACCTTTTTGCACAGACGGTAAGTTATTGAGGTCATAACTTCGTATAGGCTACGTGTGAATGTGAAACCAACTTTACTGCAGTAGAATACATGGGAATCGATCTCAAGCGTTGCTGCCTGCTGACATTTTATTTTGTACTCTTTTGACGTCTTTGGATCAAATTTGTTAGTTACTTTACATTGTTCAAATACACTGGAACAGATACTGTTTAATACTTTATTATACGTGAGACCTTTTAAATATGTAAATGTTAATCGATAAATATGAATATAGTTTGACGCTGAGAACATTTTTCTTTGGTGCTTTTTATTTTTGGGGGTTCTATGATTGTTGTTGGTTTCTGCACATTCAAAAATGCAACGTAAATATTCTAATTAAGTTACTTTATTGCAATGAATGTACTTACTAGGAAATAAAACTGTATTTAGATTCATATGGACATATTATGCTGCTGTAGATATTCAGCTGTAGTGGCTGATAGATCTCAAAAGAGAAATAACGTTAATAAAGTCGCAGCAGCAATATTGATATCGTTTCGCATTCATTCCCCTCACAGATCTCAAGACATCCAGTAACAGCAACATTATCACTCCAAACATCGAAACAATCATTCACACGAACACAAAATCACTCAGGTCTGAATGATTTTTACATATTTTCCTCACATGCTTGTTGCCTGCTGTTCTAAGTGTTTAAGAAGACTACATACCCAACAATTATTTGTTTTAAACATGCTTTCAATTGCAGGTTTTTTTTATATGTGTACTG